AAAAGGCAACCAATTGATGTTTCTCTCTCACATTGATGTTTCTTGCCCTCTCTTCCCCTATTTCTAAAATCAAAAATAAAATAAAATATTTTAAAAAAAATATGCCCTCTGCTAATCCAACCACCCCTACCCCAGGTTTTTCCTCTCTGAGAGTCTGAGCTTCCATTGTCATGTGTGGGGTAACCTGAATGGTCCCCCTTTTATTCCAAATCACACAACAGCACAGCCTAAAGAGCCCTGAGGGATGGAGGATCTTACCCAAGGGTGCTGGGTGCAGAGCTGGGGGCGGAGTCTTAGCCTATTTTTTTCCCTTTCTCTCCACCTTGTTCAGCTGATCTCAGCAGATGCCCTCAGGCTCAGTGGGGTCATGGGGGTCACATGCCTGCAGTCTGGATGGCTCTGGGTGGACTGACCAGTGCTCCCCGACCTTGGCAGTCCAGCCGGGGTGGTGTCACCCCAAGGTGGCAGCCTCCCTCTGGACCCTCCCCCCATCCCTGCTTCCCTGTAGGGTAGGAAGAGAATGGTATGGGATGCACGCTAGTGGCAGCTGAGCACTGTCCCTGTGAAGACTGTGGGGGTCATGTGTGTTCCAGTGTGGGGCTTTTCCACCCCCTTCCGACCATGGCTTGGGTCAGAGGAGGGTCTTTGAGGAGGGGGCGCGAGGCTTGTGGCTAGTGTGGGCTCTTGGGGAGGAACTAGGGAGGGACTGCTCCTTCCGGCCTTGGCCTAGCTGACTGCCCCTCCCTCAGGTCTCCCACGGGCGGTGCATGAGGGTGGGGGAAGGGGCAGCCCCGGGCTGCTGAGGCCCCCGGGCACTCAGCTGCACTAAGGGCTGCTCATGGGCCAGGAGGACTGTTTTGCCAGGGTCCGTTTTTGCCCCTGAGCAGACATGGGGGTGGGGGTGGGAGACTCTGTCTACCCCCAAATCATAACAGTGAAGCATCAGGCTCCGACAGCCCCTCCCCAAATGCAAGGAGTTGCTCCTTTTAGGCAGGGTAGAGCCAGGGCTAGTTCTTGCTCCACTGGGGTGCTGCTAGAATGTAAGCACATGGTTTCTAGAGTGAGCCAGACCTGGGTTGGAGCCCCAGCTTGGCCTCTTACTAGCTGTGTGACTTTGGGGAGATGACTAAACCTCTCTGAGCCTCTGGGTTCCCAGAGGATTATGATTCTTACGTCAGAGAGTGCTAGGCAAAGGTACCAGGCACTCAGGCAGAGCTGATATGCAGCAATTGTCACTTTGGAAGGAGCAGTTTATCCCCTCCCCAGGTGGAAAGAAGAATTGGAGCCCAGCACAGCCCGCTCTGTGCCCCACCAAGAAGCTGCCTTAAATACTCACATTTTTACAACTACTTTACATTGAGAACTGACTGTGTGCCAGTCAGGGTTCTGAGGGCTGTGTGAGTTCTCACTCACTCAAACAGCTCAGTAACCTAACGAGACAGGCATGCTTATCCCATCCAAGGGCACACAGTCGCTATGCCGCAGATCTCCGGTTCAAGCCCAGGGAGCCCAGCTTCCCTCTGGCACCGCGAACGGGCATCCTCCTGCGCCTCAGCCCCGTTCCAGCGGCGCTCTGACCCCCGGCTGCTCACCTCCTCACCTGGGCGCAGGGATTCGCCCCGCGTCTAAAACCCCCTGGCTGCGGAGTCGCCTCTGTGTCCTCACCCGAACAAAACTGGGCCTGAATGAAGCGGCCTCCATGGGCCATGAGAGCGGGCGATTCATGCTGCCTGTTAAGACATGTTTTGAATTGGAGAAAAGGTTTCTGGCGGCGAAGCAATGCCACCAACAAGGCTCTTTTGCAAGAGGGAAACCGGGCTGGCTCTCGAAATGTGTGGTGAAGCCCCGTGGGGCCTGTCTAGACAGGCCCGTAGGAGGTGGCAGCCACTGTGGGCTCTTTCCCCCGAATTCCTGCACATCGTCCCGCGGGCGACCTCTGATTGGCCCGTGGCCACTGCCTGCCGCTGGGCGGGGGAGGGCCCCGGGGGCAGTGCCCGCTGCCACCTCAGGGCCGGCAGGGCACTTACCCTGCCACTCGGTACAAATGCAAGACCATTTCTAGAGACCCACGTGGAAAGGAGGTGGCGGCATTTGTGTTTCTTCCTTACATTTTTTTTTTTTTTTTTTTAATCACGCAGATTTGATAGGTACAAAATGAAGTGTGTAACCCATGTCCTTTAAGCAATCGGATCATTTCAAGGGCTGTCAAAGAGGGGCTGCTATGACTCTGCTCGGGCCATGTGGCTTGGTTCAGCCACTTCAGGAAACAAGGTGACACTCCCTTGCAAAGTTGCCAGGCGCGTACCCTGGACCCCGGTCATCTCTCTCTAGGTATAAACCCTGGGGAGGCTTTGGTTCCTGTGCATGAGGAGGTGTGAACAAAAATGACCGTAATAACAATCAGAAAGCTTATCACGGTTCTTTGCGCAACCCCATGGCCCTGAGCCCCAGGGGGACAGTTTAGTTGGACTATTGCAGTTGAGGCAAGCCCAGGCGCAGCTCAGAGATGAGGACCTGGGGGACCCGCTCCCCGGCCCCCTCAGGCTCCCGCAGGTCAGGGGTGGCCCTGGGCCTGGAACTTTCTATTCCTCAGGGCTACATGTGTCAGCTCTTCCCCAGAACTGGCCAAGCAGTGAAAGGGCTGACTTTGCCCAAAGAACTGCCTTGTGGCTCTTAGGGACCGGTGACAAGAAGGCTCCCTCTGGTCCCAGAGCAGGGGCAGGGCGGAAGGCAGAGCAATCTCCTTGGAACCAGAAGACCTGGGTTCCAGCTGCGGCGCGGCCACTCCCTTAGCCTCTGTGAGGGGGGGATTCCTCCTCACGGCTCTCAGACGGGCCTTGGGGGCAGGCTGAGAGGGAGTGTTTTGAAGTTGCAGAGTGGGTTAGAACCCACTTTGTAGCTGTGCCACCTGGGGTAAGCGCCAGTGGTTTTCTGCCCTGTAAATTGGGGATGGTGGAATGATGCTGACTCCTGCCTCGTGGTAATCCTGGGAGGATTAAATGATAATGCAAGACACTCAGCCGGGTACCAGCTCCAGGAAAATCCTCCATACATATTCATGAGGTGCACGGAGGATTGCTAGGGAGTTTGAGGGTGGGCAGGGCGGGGGCGGGGGTGAGGAAACCCATGGGGAGAGAGCACCTGGGACAGCTGGAACACATACCATGTCCAGGCTTAACAATTCCTAAGCTGTGTGACCTTAGACAGGCTACCTAACCTCTCTGTGTCTCCATTTCCGCATCTGTACAATGAGGATAAGGATAATAATTACACCCACCTCATGGGGTTGTTGTGAGAATTAGACAAATTAGCTCCTGTAAAGGCCTTAGGTAGTGCCTGGACCATGGTAATCTCACTCTCCTTTTTCTGCTCCTACCACCTCAGGGAGGCCTGGGCTGGGCAGGGAGGCTGGCTCTGCCCCGGCTCTGCCGTCAGCTCTCTGGGTGACCTAGAGCAGGGCTCACTCTGTGGATTCAATTGGCTCGGCTTTATTCGCAAGGGTCCCAAGCTGCTGGACAGCACAGCACCCTCAAAACCCCTTGCGCGTGGCAATTACTCAGGGGGCTTACAGTGCAGATTCCTGGGCCCCATCCCAGTTTCCCTGCCAGTAGTTGAGTGTGCAGTGGTTTAGATACCACACTTTGGGACACATGGCCCAAGAAATGCCCTGCTGAGGTCAGAGATGGCAAGTGACTTGCCCAGGGTCACTTGTCCAGTAAGTAAACAAGCCAGACCTAGACACAGGCAGTTGGATTCCAAGGTCTCCTTTTGGCCATGATGGCCTTGGGTCTCGTGTGACCAGAAGTAGGGAGGCAAGGATGCTGGGCAGGTCGATGCTGGAGGACTGGTCCATCCTGGACCCCAAATGTGGCCAGAGCTTGTTCGGAACAGCGATGTGGCCTGCTTGTCTCCCAGTCCTGACCCCAGACCTCTGCCTCTCCCCAGCCTGCCTCCCATGATGCCCGCCTTGAATCTCCTGCCTTCCTCTGTGTTCCCACACCCACCACTTCACCCCCTTGAAGTCCTCTGCTGTCTCTCCGGTCCCCATCCCATGTTGCTGTCCTGATCCAGAGATCGATCAGCCCCTTCCCCACCAAAAGCTGCTTGGGGGCCATGCCTGCGTCAGAGCCCCTTCGGCTCCTTTCCCTCACTTGAGGCTCAACTTCCAAAAGCTCCCATGGGCCGCGGGCATCTGCTTGGACTCTACACCAGTGGTCCGAGGGCAGACTCATCTCTGGGACACTTCCTGGGGAAAACTGCCTGCCCTTCAGGCTTGAGTGGGGCTCACATGCCACCTTCTGTGTGGAGACTTGGTCGTCCAAAAACTTCAAGGTACCAATAGAAAACTGTAGGTCAGAGAGCGGAGGGCACCTGCCCAAGGCTGCAGGGCCAGGCAGTGAGAGGCAGAGCTGGGGCGGAAGCCCAGGCCCCATCCGTCGGCCAGCGTGCCCATCCCACGGCCGCGGCTCCACCAGTCCCTTGGCCTTCCCCCCTGTCTGCCTGTCTGCCAGATCCGGAGCTGCTATGGTTTCTTCTCCAGTTTTGCTTCTTGAAACCATTATCTGAAAACAGTTTTCCTTGCCAGGAGCCCCCGGCTCTTGGAGCTGTTTAGTCAAACCTCAAAGAACACGGAAGAAGCACTGTCTACAGAGAAGCGAGGGAGATGGGCCCAGACTCGGTCACAGCAGTGGAGCTCAGGCGGGCAAGACATTATTAACACTGTCCACTCCCTCTGTTCCCACCCCCCTTTAATCACAGCCACAAGGTGTCCTCGAAGCCAACAGGACCACGGATTCTACGTATCCGGTCAGGGCAGGAAGGGTGCTTAGAGATCATCAAGTCCAGCCCCTGTGCAGATGGGGAAACTGAGGCTCGGAGAGGCAGAAGGCACAGAGCGGGTTAGAAGGGAACAAGGACCAGACCTCTGACACAGCATCCTCGTGGATGTCACAAGTCCCCCCACCCCCTTCATACCCCCCACATCTGCCGCTGGTTCTTACCTCTCCTGTGTCTGGTCCAGGTGTGCTCCTTGTGGCCCGAGATGGGGGCCGGCCCAACTGGGGGACTGAGGGGGATGTCACTGCTTTTCAACTAACTCGACTGGGACTCTGGCACCCCTCGCTGGCACAGGGACATTCTTAAATGGCTGGCACTGGGCCCCCCTCCCCTTAGCCCCTTGCTCGCTGCTCTCTGGCCACGGAGGCCCCTCTGCCTTTTACTTTATATGAGCTGAAGAGGCAAGCCCAGTGTTGGGGTGAGGCGGGTGCTGAGTTCTCCCGGGGGCTCCTCATTGGCCTAGGCGCCCTCCACGTGACTGCCTCGCCTTGACCTGCCCCCGGTGCTGAATGTTGCTTTTACCCCCTAAGGAAGGAGTGGTTGACAATTTTCATATTTCTTCTAAATTTGGAGATTTCAGACAATGCTGGGAGGCTTGGCTCCAGCTGCCAGAGGCCCATGTGGAAGTCATTAAGCCCAAGAAGGGGGGCCGGGGGTGAGAGGGAGGCAGGGAGAGGAGGAGGAGGAGAAGGAGGAAAGGGGTGGGGGACGGAGTTCTGAGGGTTGCCAGTTGTCAGCCTGGGAACATGAGCAAATCCCTGGGAGCAAGCTGTGTGTGAGAATTTCCTTCCTCTTCTCGGGCCCCTGTGTCCCAGGACTAGAGTGGGAGTTCTGAGATTTTTCTGGGAACCTTGAGTCAGGAAGACACCAGTCCTAGCTCCTGAGGCCTCCGGAGCTAGGCAACGACAGGGGACCGCGAGGAAGCAAATCCTCTCTCTAGAAAGCGGGGGCCCTGGAAGGCCAACCCCATCACTGTGCAAAGGAGGTCAGGGGACTCAGGAGGGACGCGCTTGTCCCAGTCACAGAAGGGACTGCCACAGGACAGGAGAATCCGGAGATGCCCCTCTGGCGCCCTGTCCGTCTCCTGACACCGCCCCCCCTACCCCTTTCTCCTGCCTCAGCCCCACTGGTGTCCGACAGGCACCTGGGCACTCTCATGCCTCAGGGCCTTTGCCTTCGCAGTTCTCTCCACCAAACATGTCCTTTTCCCAGAGCGTCCCATAGCTGGCTCCTTCTGCTTCTGGTCACGGCTCAAAAGCCACCTCTGCATGGTGGCCACTCTACTATTCCCTGCCAGTGCCTTTGCTTGTTGCCCTCCGCCACTGCCTCACAATGTGCTTATTATACGCGTCTGCTGGTTTCGTTGCTCATTGTCTAGCTCTTCCAGGAAAGTGTGACTCCCCTGTGCACGGTCTGTGTCCCCAGACCTACCACAGCTCCAGTGCAGAAGGGCCAGAAAGACAGGGTTTGTTGAGGAGCAGCCACCAGCACTGGAGCAGCTGCTTGGAGGCTGGAGGAGGGCTCCTCCCAGTGGCCAGTCGAGCCTTCAGCCCAGGGCTGCTACCCCATCTAATTCACGGCCCCCCAGCTCCTGGCTGCCCCTCCCTCTCATCCCTCAGGGCCGGGGTTCCCTCCAGCACCTGGCCTTGTGCCATCCTGTGCGTGCGGGGTGGTGGCTGAGCCCAAGGGGTGTGGGATGCTCAACCTGACGTAGACCCTGACCTTACAAGGCTCTCAGTTCACCTCAGCTTCGTTCCCTCTGAGGAAATGATTCTCTTGCCATGGGAGGCCATGCACTTGTTACTGCCCTGCCGCTTCCTAGCTCGGAGGTCTGGGCCTCATTTAGCTGTTGCTCTGAGCCTCGCCTTCCTCCTCTGTAAAATGGGATCATGAGGCCTGCCTTGCAGCGTTGCATTGAGGGTCAGGTGGGGCGCCCTCCCTCCCCTACGCCGTCCTGGGGATGGTCAAGCAGGGGCTCTGCTACTGCCCCCGGGATGGGAGGCAGGCTTGGGAAAGTTCCTTAGTGTCTGTGAACCTCGCTTTCCTCTTCCGTACAGTGGAGTGAGAAACAGCACCCACCTTTCAGGATTGCTGTGAAGATGAAGTGAGGCCGTGATAATAAAGGGGTTAGCCCAGGGCGGCTTCAGAGTAAGTGTCTGTGAGTGTTAGATATTATTGTGCTACGACGCTGGAATGGACACACAGCAGACCTGCCGTTCACATCATCCCCTTTGTCCCTGAACAGAAGATGAATTCCACTCATAACCCCCACCTGGGGTATAAGGTGATGGGCAGGGAAGGCTTACGATCCCCACCCCCCACCCACACTCAGGGGTCCAGTTTAACACTCCAAGCAGCATCATCAGATCCCAGGGCAAAGATAAAGCCAGCCCAAGAGAACCATCAAAATTATGGGAAGTGCACTCAGGAGACTGTGAAACTTAATTTATGCTCTTGTTTGCTCTACTACTGTGTAAGCATCAGGGATATTTTGTCAAGACAGAAAAGAAAACCAGAAGAGCTATCAGTCTAAGTTGTATTGAGAGCCACCCTTTCAATGCCCCAAATTCTGTGCCTGGCTAAGCGCCAAGAGGCTCAGTTATCAGTAAGTTCATTTTCAGAGGTCAAGACTAGAAACTGAAGTGATCCGGAGACAGGTCCCTAGGACATCCTAGGAGAGGAGGTGTCCTGGCATCAAAACATCTCAAAAGGCTAACTGAAGGCAGCCATTTGTGACTGAGTCTCCATAAATCTGTCTCAAACATCTCGAAGCCGTTTCTATTTCCTCCCATAGCCCCTCTTGGGAGTTGTGAGTGCTTTAGGTTTATTAATCACCGTGTGAAGTGGCTTTTCTTTCCAGACTGTGGCAAGCAGCCTTGAAATCCCTCCACGCCCAGAGGAAACAGGTCATTGATACTCTTAGTATGTGTGGGTAGAAGGTGTCTTGGGAGGTGAAGGGAGAGCTCTTATTAGGGGCTGGTTATGAGAGGGCATTTGGTGAGTTCTGTGTCTTCACAGGGTGTGTACAGTCAGGGGCAAGGGGGCCCCCAACCAGGAAGGGGAGGGGCCTGAGGAACAGGGGACTCAAGGGGCCTGGGAGAGATGCCTCACTTTTACAGGTGATTGAGGAAGAAGTTGAGGTGGAACAATTGAAACCTTTAAGAAGATGGAGTTTAGATCCACATAAGAAGGCCTTTGAGGGTGGTGAGCCCACAATGCAATATATAGATGTTGTATTATAGAATTGTACACTTGAAAGTTATATAGTGTTATTAACCAGTTACCTCAATAAATTCCATTAAATAAAAGAAAAAGAAAATTGTAACTCTTAAAAATAATGAAAGTCCTGGCCAATGTGGTGCAGTTGGTTGGATAGCCGAAGGGTTGAATGTTCGATTCCTGGTCAAGGCACACACTTAGGTGGAGGGTCCAGCCGGGTGCGGGCGCATGCGGTCTCCGGTTTGGACACATGCGATCCCCGGCCTTGGTGCTGATCCCCAGTCTGGGCAGATATGGGGGGCATGTATTCGAGCAGCCAGTGGATGCTTTTCTCTCTCATTGATGTTTCTCTCTCTCTCTTCTGTTCTCTCTAAAAGCAATGAAAAAAAAAGTCCTTGAGTGAGGGTAAAATAATAAAAAATAAAAATAGTAAAAGGACTTTGTAATTATAGTCAATGGAGCTACTCAAGGATGAAATGGTCTTGATCAGGTTGTGAGCGTCCTGTTCCTGGAGGAATGGAAGCAGAGGCCGAATGACTACTTGCATATCCCTTCTGGTGCTGGGATCCTATGAACTTCACCTCACATTTCATGTTCTCACCCCCCACTTGTCCCTAACCCCTAACCCAGACTTCATACCGATTTATCTAAAAGGCATAGGTCAGAGGTGATCAGTGGGAGACAGTTACGTATTAGAAACGGCCATAAGCCCTGAGTTAAAAATCAAGCACCCTATGTTTTCTTTGATAAGCATAAGACTTTCTTTCATTGATTTAACTTGATTCTGAGAGGTAAGTGATAGTTAATTAGTGGAAAAATGTTTATAATTGTAATCAAACCAATTTCTCAAAAATATCACCCCACAGAAAGCTATCCACAACATATTAATGAGGTTAAAAATCATGGCACAGAAGAATATATATGGTACAATCCCATTTAAGTAAAATGATGGGCCTGCAAAATTACAATGAGATGCCATTTCAAACTCATTAGGATGGCAACGATAGTAGTAATAATAATAATAGAAGAAGAACCTCCTAGAAACTTAGATACTTATACACTGATGTTCATAGCAGCATTATTCACAATAGCCAAAATGTGCAAACAACCCAAGTATCCATCAATGAATGAATGGATAAACAAAATGTGGGGGGTGTGTGTGTGTGTGTGTAATGGAATATTATTCAGTCATAAAAAGGATAAATCCTGGTACATGCAACAATAGGTATAAACCTTGAAATCATGCTAAGTGAAAAAAGTCAGACACAAAAGGACAAATACGATGTGATTTCACTTACAGGAAGTATCTAGAATAGACAACATCATAAAGTCGGAAACAGAACGATGGTCTGTATGACGGTTGCCATGAGCTGGGGGGAGGGGAATGGGGAGTTACTGTTTAATGGGAATAAAGTTCCTATTTGGGATGGTGAAAAAGTTCTGAAAATAGATAGTGATCATGGTTGCACAACACTGTGAATATACTTAATGCCACTTAATTGCACACTTAAACATGGTTAAAATGGTCAATTTTATGCTATGTGTCTTTTACCATAATTAAAAAAACCCCAATGATGTGTCTGCGTGTGGGGATAAGGGTGGGTACACCCGGGTGCCCGGCCGGAAGCTGAGTGTGTCGGCCCCTGTGCCTATGGCACACACAGGCCAGGACAGACGGTCACCGTGGAGCGCCCAGAGGGAGTATCTCTGCGAAAGGCAGGGAGGGTGGATTTTCTGCTGATCACCAGGGAAGAATGGCGGTTGTTGGGGGGGGGGGCAGTGCACAGCAGTGTTCACAGTCCAAATGTCTGTGGCTCCCTGGCATTAGAATGCTGATAGGGAGTGGGACAGCTTGTGCTAAGGGGCCCTGGGTGGGTGGCTTGGAGCCCTTCCCTGGCTGAGAGTGAATATTAGCTTCCGCCTCTGTGGCTCCTTTGGGGTTGTGGACTTGACCCACAACTTGGGATATGACTCACCAAAACCAGCTCCAGCTCAGGCGTTCACGCCTACCAGTCAGCGCATTGATACCGCGTCAGGGCACCAGATGGGACTGGACACTGCCCCCAACCCAAGCCCCTCAAGTGCTTAAGAGAAGGCGGCCAGAGAGAATGGCTGCACCGCAGGTCTGACCTCCTGCTGTT